GCTTTACACAATTGATGTGTGTATGGATTGGGATAACAGTTGTATGAGCCCCTAATAAAATGTTTAAAAAAAAAAAAAAGAATGATGATGGCAACAAATGTACAAATGTGTTTGACATACAATGGATGTATGAATGGAATGTAATAACATTGTACGAGCCCCCAATAAAATGATTTATTTTTTAAAAAATCATCAACATAACCCAAATATATTTTAAGTTCTCAGTATGGAATGCTGTGATATTTCTTCAACTAAAATGCTTCTAAGTTTTAAGAATTTGAGAATCCGTGGGCTTAACAATCAGTTAATTTTTATTTGAATTTCTTTACTTTATTTCCTAAAGGTTGACTATATAAAAAGTTACTATCAGTAACTCCAATAAGCTATGAAAAGTAAAAGTTAGAAAAGCTGAAACTTTAAGAGTTTCTACAATAAGTTCTAAGACATCCTATCTAACATATGTATCAATTGGAATTTCACTATTAGCAAAATGAAAACTTATGCAAACATAAAAGCACTGTCAAATGAAATTCTTAGAATAACTTAGGAAATAAAGTCCTTTATTTTCTTCTGAAATATATATTTATTTATTTATTTTTAAAGCTCTAAAGTATTTAATCAACTGCAATGTTTCAAAGGCCAGCCTGAGACTGCTTATGGCCTGAGCCCAGGTGGTGTAATGGGTTATGAATTGGGCTGCTAACTTCAATGGATGCAGTTCGAAACCACTAGCTACTCCCTGGGAGAGAGATGAGGCTTCTATTACCATCAAGGGTTACTGTCTTGGAAACCCAAAGTGGTACTTCTACTCTGTCCTTTAAAGTCACTAGGAGTCAACATAGACTCAATGGCAGTCAGAGACATAAGATAGTTTAAACAAGCTTAACTAAGGAATTTTTCACCCCATGACTTACCTAACAGTAATAAGTAAAAGAAGGCTTAATTAAGTCTTTATTACTGATGTATCCCCTTTCATCATTTTTACTACACTTTTAACACTGCACGACCATACAAATGAGGGCAAGACAGTTATTTATATATCAAAGGTGACTATTAATAATGGTTTTGTCTTAGATTATGCTAAGTACTAAACTCAGCAGTTATTTCTGCCCGCTCACTACTGAAGTGTCCTTCTGAGTGCCAGCATTAATTTTACATGGAAATAAGGAAGCCAGGTTTTGAATGGCTTCTTTTTTAATGACACAACAGAGGTAACTTTTAACTCCTAACTAATGCTCAAATCTCTTACAGTACAATAGATTATATTTTAACAAAGTAAAACACTAATGTACAAACTGAAAGAAATATTAGTTTTACTTCATTCATAAACAAAATTATTTATTAATGGGATAGATATACATCTGGGGCACTGCATAAATGCTCAACCCCTGGAATAAGATTTCAAACCGTCACCCTCATTTCCTGCTCCACACTAAGTTCGAATACCTGTAACAAAGTATTTGCTTTTTATCATCGCAACTGCCAAAAACTTAGCTGTGCAGAGACATAATAGCATCAAAAGAAATGTAGCATGAAAGAAGACTAAATGTGTTGTGGCAGGAGGTCAGATGTACAGGCATTCCCTCCCCTGAGGGTGATCAGTTGCCAGACTGCACTGGGCCTGCTCCCTGCTGCTGGTGACAATGGACAGGCTCCTGTGGGCGGAGTTCGCATCCTACTGATAATGGTCTCTATCAGTTGGGCCAGGAACAGGCCAAACTGACTCTGAGACATCCTGAATCTGGGATCCGCCCATCTTGTCACGTGTATAGCCCAATCTCTCCTCTTCCTATTGCGTGTATGTCTCTAGACCCCCCCTTCTCATTGCTGTGTAACCTATAGTGCAGCCCCTCCCTGTGTCTCTACTTGTAATTACTGGGCTGGCATGACCGCAAAAGGTATATAGGCATGGGTCAGCAATATAGAGCTCTCTCGGACTCTGAGCTCCTTGCTGCTCACTCCCTGGTCACTCCCCTCTCCCTTGTTCCCTTGCCCTCCTTCCTTTCCCTCTCTCTCCACGTGGACCACCAAGATGGGCTGAGGTGAGCAATGCTACCATGTCATGTGTCTAACTGTTTTATTGTATCTCTCATGCTCTCGATAACTTTAATACTTAAATATCTCAACCGTACAATTGTGCATTACTGAACCCGTAGGTAGTAGTAGCGGTGGGGGCTGGCCCCTCACCACCCATCTCCATTTAATTTAATACTACAATGTGTGGTCACATATGTCAAGCATCTGTTTTCTTCAAATCTGTTATTAAAATACCCTTTGGCACCTCTATATGGAGCCTTGATGGCACTATGCGTTAGGCACTGGATTCTGAACTGCAAGGATTGTTCTTCAAGGCCTTCAGATGCTCCACTGGAGAAAAATCAGGCTGTCTGTTCTCATACAGAGTTAGTCTCAGAAACCCCATGAAGCAGTTCTACTACATGCTCCAAAAGAATGGGTATGACATGGAATCAACGTAATGTCACTGGGTTGGGGGACAACACCCCTGTGACTTCCCTACACTGCATCCAGTAACCCAAGATAAATGACCCCATAAATCATCAAATTAACCCAGATTAATTTAATCTAACCCAAATTAAACAGTGAATGTAAGTAAAGTACCTTGTATCCCAGGCCCAACTGATAGATAGCAAATATCTGAGCTGCGTTAAGAGCTTCACTGAAAAGGTAAACTGCAGTCATCTGACCACAGAACACTCTGTTAGCGTCTGCTGTTTCTGAGGAGCCCAGGAAGCATTTGTCAAATGTCTGTGAAAGAAAACAGATTTTATTAGAGAAATCCAAAAAAACCTCTCCACCTACAATAAAAAGCTGAACTGAAATAAATGTTTTGATTATGTAAGACTAAAATCCGAATAGATTCTAATAACCCACTTAACATTTCACTTCATTTGTTCACATATACAGATCATAGGAAATGAGGAAAATAGTTCTTCCAAAGCACAATCATTAAAACTGGACGCTGACTATGGAATCTGAGAGTTCATACTTCAGCAAACTAAGATTCAGATAGAAGAACAGGCTTAAGAGGACACAGGGGAAGAAAGTGAGTTAGGTTTGGGACACACTGAATCAGCCTCTTCTGTGAGCTAGTATGGATGGAACTGAAAATCTAAGAAACAAAAAGAAATCCATTAGTTGGGTGAGAGGTTAAGGCTAAAAAGACAAATTTTTGAAAACATCAAGATGTTGGGTGAAGTCATGAGAATAGATGTAATCTCTGAAAAAGAATGTAAAAGTCAAGAAAAGCAGGTTTATATTTCCTTCTAATAAAAAAGCGCTCCAAGCAAATCCCAGGCTGCAAAGGGCACATTTCGATAACCCACATATACAATGAAGAGGAAGCAGAGCCCCCCCACATGTTCACACACACCACATCATACTGAGAGACCTGACTGTACTGCATTAAATTAAAATTCTAGCCAAATTACAATGATAAACTCATTTATGGCCTCCCAAAGTTCTACAGTAATTAATTTTTTTAAGTTCCAGCTTTTAAGATATGTCTACCGTAACTGTTTGAAACTACTTACATCACTGGTGTTAACAAACCAAGTTATCTCTCCATAGGAAGCTAGCTCGCCATTCACGTAACATCGAAGTTCACTGTTCTTCCACCGGTTATAAATGTGGACAATAGTTACCATATACCACTGAAAGTGCAAAAATAGACATTTTTTTAAAATAACACTCTTCCTAATAACTAAGTAGTATTGATAATAACAAGTAAAAACAAAATTATATTTGTACTTAAACTTAAAAATGGGGTGTTTTACTAAATTCACTATTTAACATTTAGAACATATTTATTCAAGCAGTGTGCAGTTGGTGAGAATTAAAATTATTTTCCAACTAATTATGAATATTTAAAATGTAGAAGAAAAATTGAAAGGTAACGTATCCTCTTTCCTAACACGGAGATTGTACAATTATTGCCAAATTTGCTTTATCGATAGCTCACCTATGTTTTTGTACATACGGATGGGAACGTACCTTGTTGATGAACCATCTACTATCCTCAAAATTCTATTTAAGAAAACAGGCATACATTAAATGTATAAGACCAAAATAATTGCCAGGGATATTTTTCCCTGTACAAACTCTGTAAGTAACTAATCTTTTTTAATATCCATCACAAGAAAGAGGTTAACAACTGTCCAGTGATTTATAGTTCGTTTTCTGAAATAGCTTAAGCACAGTTGTGATTTATCGTATTTCACACCAGTAACTTTAAAACAAAGTATTTTGAAGCCCGGCATGACTTGCTAACATCAATTATGACTAAGTAAGTTATCATACCTTTTGGGGTTTGAAGTCAAATTTCACACAGTGTTGAAAGCCTTTGCCTTTTGACTTGATTGATGTTATAATTAAGCAGCCCCCAACAAAGTGAGCAGAGTAACCAAGCCCTTTGCTGGTTCTGAAGCTGTGAAGAATAAGTTGTCATTTTACCACCAAATATGTTCCGGACTTGCAAAGTCAGGCAATAATACCGGTCAGTTCTGGAAGTACATACCAATATAAGTAAGGTTTGTCCTTATCCACATTGATATTATTTACAGGATCCATTCTAAGCCAAGTATGAAATGTAAAACCATTCTGGTATGGCCATTTGGCTATCGGGGGTAACGCAATAGCCTGAAGGAGAGAAACTTTAAGTTACTGACTCACATAAAAAGCTTTATTGAAATCATGAAATGAGACTTTACAATGCTATGGATTACATTATATTCTCTTCTGTCTTGATTAAAGTGTCTGGAAGACTTTTAATAAATCCTGAATTTCCCCAAATGCCTAGTACGGATGTTAACTTAATTAAATGAAAGAAACATTAAGTGTGACCTGTTGACCACACTGGCCCTATTTTTTTCATTTCTAAGAATGAATATATCCAGATTCTAAACTAACATGATAAATAGTCCTATCAAATTGCAAATCTGTTGCTGACATGTTAAGGTCCTAAGAGTATAGAAAGATGAACAAGGAAGTCATGAAACGACTAAAGTAAAAAGCGTGGTATGTGCTCCATTTTTTTAAAACGGAAAAATAACTCACTCAAAACATTTTTAAAATGTATTCAAAGGTTACCCACTATACAAATGCTTCACAACTTGGATCAAAAGTTAAAAGGTCAAAGTATGCAATGAGAGCAACCCCAAGTAGCCAAAACAATCTTTAAAAAGAACAATCATGTTGAAGAACTGACTCACAGTTCCAATTTGAAAGCTTCCTTGAAGCTACAAGACAGCCCAGAACTGCCATAAAGATCAACAGAATAGACTTACAGGCCCAGAAATGAAGATTACTCTACACTCACAGTCCACTGGTTTTCAATTTGGGTGTCAAAATCATGCAATGGCAATCATTTTCTCAGGAGACAACTAGACAGCTACCCACAAAAGAATGAAGTTGGCCCCAGCCTGACGTCAAGACACAAAAAATAACTCCAAATATATCATAACCTAAATGAACAATGAAGACTATAAAGCTTAAAATATTCTAAGAGGTAATCTTTGCAATCTATGGTTAAGAAAAGCTTTCTTAGTTACACCACTAACAACTCAAGCATCAAAATAAAAAAGAGGTAAGTACATGAGGCATCATCAAAGTTTTACACATTTGTGCTTCAAAGGATATCATTAAAGTAAAAACAACTCACATAATGGGAGAAAATATTCAAATTATATGCTGAAAAGAGACTTGTATCCAAATTATAAAGAACTCTTATAATAACTCAAAAAAAATTTTTTTAAAAAGCCTTCAAATATCTGAACATACATCAAACCAAAGAAAATACATAATTAGCCCAAAACAGCACAGTGAAAGATGCTGAGCAACACCAGTCATTATGAAAATTCATAACAAAATCACAGTGAGAAACCACTTTACTTACACCCACCAAGATGGCTTCAATCAAAATGTCAGATAGTAACAAGTACACAAAAGGAAGTGGAGAAACTGAGCCTCATAAATTGCAGACAAGATCATAAAATATATTGTCAAGTTTGGAAACAGCTTGGCAGTTTCTGAATATATTAAACATATGCCATGTGACCTAGAGTTTCACTATTAGGTATACACCTAAGAGAAATGAAAAAATACATTCACACAAACATTCACAGCAGCATTATTCTTCCTGTGGCATAAACCCAAGGGTCCATTAATTGATAAGTTTAAAAGAAAACCAAGCACGATGAAATATTCATTATTCATTCATATAAAGAAATAAAGTACTTATACATGCAAGCATGGATGAACCTTGAAGACTTTGTTCAATGTGAGAACCCAATCCCCCAAAGACCACACGGTATGTGGACAGGTCCATAAGAGTCACATTTGCAGACGACACAGAAGTAGACTACTGAACCCCTGGGGGAGAGAAGGCGGCATGGTGGTGCAGTAGTTACGCACTAGGCTGCTAATTCCGTCTCAGAAACCCACCGAGACAGTTCTACCTAGTCCAGGAGGGTCACAATGAGTCAGCATTGACTCAATGGCAACAAGTCTGGTTTGTTTTGTTTTTGTTTTTAGGGTCGGGAGGTTGAGGAAATCAGGGGGTTCCAGGTAACAGAGTGTGATGTTTCCAGTGGAGGTGTTGAAACTAGTCTAAAATCAGATAATGCTAATGGTTGCACAACTCTGTGAACATAGTGAAAAACCATTAAACGGTACACTTTAAATGAGTGAACTGTAGCTCCATTTATGGAAATAAAGCTGTGTAAAGGCATCATCCTTTTTGTTTCATTGTTATCATAACATATAAGGGTAACTCCAAATATGTTGTTTCTCGGAAGGTTCCACTTCATACACAGGTTTATTCCCAGAAAAAGAAAAAACTTGTTTAACCATGTCTCTGTGCTCAGTGGAGGGCTGCAGATGAGTTCTCCCAGGAACACACTGGTGTTGGGCTTATGAGGGTGCCTTCAAAGGAAGAGGAGTCCCAGTGGTGTTGTGGTTACCCATTGGGCTGCTAACCACAGGTCGGTCGTTCAAAACCACCAGCTGCTCTGCAAGAGAATGATGACGCGGCTTTCCACTCCCATGAAGACTGGGTCTCCTCCGTCCCACGGGGCAGTTCTCCTCCGTCCCACGGGGCAATTCTCCTCCGTCCACCAGGGCAGTTCTCTGTCCCACGGGGCAGTTCTCCTCCGTCCCACAGGGCAGTTCTCTGTCCCACAGGGCAGTTCTCCTCCCTCCCACAGGGCAGTTCTCTGTCCCACAGGGCAGTTCTCCTCAGTCCCACAGGGCAGTTCTCCTCAGTCCCACAGGGCAGTTCTCTGTCCCACAGGGCAGTTCTCCTCCATCCCAGGGTAGATGACAGTGCGTTTTTCCAAAGGAAAAAGATGCAGCCAAACACCGGCTTCTGAGGGATCTATTGGGCCAGTTCAACACAAGGCAGAGAG